ACTGCAGGCATACATGCAGACAGAACATTACACAAAATCAAAAAGTAAATAAATAAATGAATAAATAAAAAAGAAATTTAACTTTAAAAAAAGGTAAAATAGAGGCGGGCAGAAAGTTGGAGTAAGCAGGAAGTGAAGCTGTGGCTGCCTTGAGTGGAAACAGACTAGGCGAGTACTGCTTTGAGAGGCCCAAGTGCTCCGAGACATGGTGAGTGGCGTGGGGACTAGGAAAAGAGAGATTTAGGGGGGCTGCTAGAGGGAGATCGGGGCTGGGGATTGACTGTGTCGAGATAGGTTAAGTTGGCGGCAGTCTGAGGGCTGGCCCTACTGGGCCAGCGCTGCCTGAGTCTCCTTACTTTTGACAACTCGTCCACAAATAGCTCGGCACTCCGGGCCAGGGGTTCCTGACACTTCTCCACTGCCTTCCTACGGTGACCTCGGTGCTGGCTCGTATCAGAGTTTCGGTGGGGGCTGGGGGACCCGAATTCCAAGCCAAGCTGCTGCGCCCGCGCCCTCCCCCTCCTCCGCCTCCTCCAGCTGGGCCTGAGCCCGGTGTTGTGACATTACCGGGCCACAAGCGCCCCTGCTCTTAGGGGCTCAGATTCCAGCCCAGCAGGCTGGAATTCTCCCCTTTAGCCTCGCACTGTGTATAGGCAGCCACCCGAAGGACTTGCCCGGCCACCAAAAGCAGCCGCTCCTCTGGAAACATTAGCAAGAGAGACCCGGTTTGTAAAGCCGGGTCTCCCTGACAATCCAGGTTCAGCTCACACCGGTGGCTGGTACCTGAGGCCTCTGGGTCACTAAGGGAGGAGTCCATGCCTTTTCCCTCTTAGTTCAAAAGCCTTATCTTGAGGCCTCCTGGATAGAGAGACCGCAACAGGGAGGACGTTTGATATCTACATAAGCAGGCAGTGGTGTGTGGCCTATACCAGTCGTTCATTTCTGGGGAAAGCAGAAGTGTGTGGTCCAACGGCACGGCACATGATACTTTCTGGGGGCCACAGCCACCGAACCGCAGTTACACTGCCCAGCAGGCAGGAACCAGAGCAACTCACCAACAGCTGTCTGGACAGGCACTTGGGTTGGGTCAGACAAGGGTGCTCTGTTGGCCAGCCCTCACCTTTCTAGTAAGAACCACTAGGATTGGGAAGAGGGTGGCTTGGCTGTGCACTGCTGAGGAAAACTGAAATGCCAGCTGTGTCATCCCCTTGACCCTCTTTGTGGAGAGTGGAAGTAGGGAGAGGTGTGCGCTGTTTTTCCTTGTCAGGGACCCTGTAAATCCCAAAAAGAAGGCGAATGACAGTCCAGAATCAAATCTCATCTTCTGGGACTTATGTGCACTTATGTGGCAGCCAAGATGGCTTGACAGGCAGTGCAAGCATGTTAGCCTAAGTTCAGTATCCCACCTACTTCTATCCATCCGACTGTAGAAGATAACCCACTCGTGAACATTTTCCTCTGACCTCCACATGAGTGCTGTGGTGTGCATGCATGTCCCCACGCCACCCCCACTGATAGGTAACACACACACACACACACACACACACACACACACACACACACACACAGAGGTATGTATGTGTGTGCATATATATTGCAGGACTGAGAATGTGGCTCAGTTGGTAGAGTGCTTGCCTGGAATGCA